CCCTGTTCTTCTGATTGCTTCATCGCTTCATGTACAAATTCTCAGCTTGTGCTTGACTTGCCTTTAGCACTTCTCTTAGGCTTTTGGTCATTTTTTTTTTTTTTTTTAATCTAGGGAAGAATGTGGTGCCAAGCTCAGAGGCTACAGCAAACAATAATATTCAGTTCAAATTGAATAATACTGGTTTGTCTTCATTGTGTTTGCTTTTATATTATCATTCATATTATTGTTAAGTGCCATTGAGTTAGTTCAGACCCACAGTGACTCTGTATAGGGTTTCTGAGTATCGAAGTAGCCGGTGGCCTTGAACCGTGGCCTTGAACTGTAACCTTGAACCATGAATCTTGTGGCTAGCAGCCCAGCACTTATCCTGTATCACATCTATACCACACCAGTATATATAGTGATATAATGTATCTTTCAGAAAAAAAAGTTAATCAACTTGCATTAAAAAATTATATAGATAATAGTACAGGTGGTATTTAGTTACAATTATGCATCAGACTGCAAAGCCATTTGAACTGCAAGGTTGGTGGTTCAAGCTCACCAGCAACTCCTCAGAAACCCTATACAGGGTCGCTATGGGTCGGAACAGACTTGACGGCACTCAAAACAACAACAACCTTGTAAGGAGCTCTGGTAATGTAGTTGTTATGAATCAGGCTGCTAACCTCAGGATCAGCAGTTCTAAACTACCAGCTGTTCCATGGGATAAAGATGAGGCTTTCTGCTCCCGTAAAGATTTACAGCCTCGGAAACCCTGTACAGGGTCCCTATGGATCGGAACCAACTCCACGGCACATAGCAACAACAACAACAACCTTGTAAGGAGCTCTGGTAGTGTAGTTGTTATGAATCGGGCTGCTAACCTCAGGATCAGCAGTTCTAAACTACCAGCTGTTCCATGGGAGAAAGATGAGGCTTTCTGCTGCCGTAAAGATTTACAGCCTCGGAAACCCTGTACAGGGTCCCTATGGATCGGAACCAACTCCACGGCACATAGCAACAACAACAACCTTATAAGGGGTGAAAAGATGTGAAACACTGTTCAAATGGAAAAAGACAGGGATTAGGGGGAGGAACAAAAACCAGTCTCAGCCTGTCCCATCTCTCAACCATTCCTCATTGCTGAGCACAGATGGGCTGTTAAGCCTAAGAACATATCTTTTTGGAGAGAAGTTTGAGAAACTTAAGGAGCTCTGGTAGCGTAGTGCTTATGAGTCGGCTGCTAGCCTCAGAGTTAGTCGTTCAAAATTACCAGCTGAAAGATGAGGCTTTCTGCTCTTAAAAAGATTTACAGCCTTGGAAACCCTATTGCAGGGTCGTTATGAGTAGGAGCCAACTCCTTGACACACGACCACCACCATGAGGAAATTTAAAGTAAGGAATGGTGGTGGTTGTGTGCCACTGAGTCAGTTTCAATTCATAGGGACTCTGAGGCTATAAATCTTTATGGGAGCAAAAAACCTCATCTTTCTCTCCTAGAATGACTGGTAGATTTGGACTACTAACCTTGCAATTAGTAGCTCAGCTCCTAATCCACTACACTACCAGGGATCCTTAAAGTAAGGAGTGTTTTAATGAGCAACGTGAAGATTAGGAGGAGAGGACTTGCATTTCCTCAATGCTCAATGCTCGACATTTGTGTGCCAAGTACTGTTCTAGGCCCTGGGTCCACAGCAATGAACAAAATGGTCATCACAGGCCAGCCAGTACCAGATGGAGAGCCTTGGCCAAGTCCTTCTACTTTTGGAGTTTTAGTTGATTTGTGGATAGTCTGTGATACAAGCCTCATAGCAACTTGCCTTTCTGGAGTAGAACTTTGAGGGTTGTGACATTTAGGAAAGAATTTAAAAAGCTGAGGTTAGTGGAGTGGGTGGCGGAGGAGGGTAATGATTGGCTATTAACTAGAGAGCTAGAAGGAAAGAATTCACTAGAGAGAGAAATCTCATAGGGCACTTTGTACTTGCCAAGTGAGCATTAAGTTGTCAATTTTCTTCACAGTTCTTGGCTAAACTAGAACTAAAAAGGAGGAGGAAGGAGAATGAATGAATTCCAAAAGGTAAGCATGTAGCTGAATGAATGAATGGATGAAGGAATGAATGACTGCTTCTCCCAGCTTAACAGATGTATTACTGAGTTTCATTTTTAGCTGCTGAGCATTCTAAGCGATGGAATGTGAATGAGGAGTCCTGCCAGAAGTAGTTTTAGAGTGAGACAGATACTTATTCATTTAGCAAGCATTTATTGCGTGCCTACTAGGTGGTTGACACGATATTTTTGATCTATGCACTGTCCAATAAGGTAGTTGCTACCCATATGTGGTTATTGAGGATTTGAATTTTGGCTAGTTCAAATTGAGGTGTGCTGTAAGATAAAATGCACTTTGGAGTTCAAGGACTTAGCATGAAACAAGGAAAGTTAAACTCTCATGAATATGTTTTAATATCAATTACACATTGAATTGATAATATTTGGATTATACATCGAAATGATAATTTTTTTTGTCTACTGAATTTCAGTATATTATGAAACTGATTTTTGCCTGTTCCTTTTTACTGTTTTTATTTTTTTTTAATGTGGCAATCAGACCATTTTAAGGAGTCCTGGTGTGGCGCTGCGGTTTAATGAGCTGAACTGTAAGGTCTGTTTGAATTGCAAGGTCAGCAGTTTAAGGTCACCAACTGCTTCTTGGAAATCCTATACAGGATCACTATGGGTCAGAACTGACTAGAAAACATTTAACAACAACAACCATAAAATTCAAAATTACACATATGGCTTGCATTTGTGGGTTGCATTAGATTTCTACTGGACAATGTCAATTAGATTTTTACTGGACAATGTCATGCTAGACACTGTTCCTACTTGGAAGAAGCTTAAACTCCTTCATGTTTAATGTCAAGCTATGACCAGCGGAAACATTACAAGGCAGGCTCAAGATGTCAGAGCATAAGGAGGTGAAGTGACTGGAACGTCCTTTGCTTTTCTTTTGACTTCCTCCAGTTCACTACATAGAGATCCAGATGGCTTCCAGTGGCCTAACCCTGTCTGTTCTACTCCTTTGCATCAGTGGTGTATGCCCCTTGCCCGTCAAATGGAATCAAACTTTCCCACAAGCCAACTGTTCTTTCCTGGCTTTCTCCCACTGCTCCTCAAAGCATTCTGCTCTCAAATCAACATGGACTTACTTTCTGATCTCCAACCTCACTTCTCCATTTCCTGTCCCTTGTTGTGTCTGGTCCTCTGATTGGGGTACCCTTGTTATTTTCCCATTGCGCTCTGTAAAATTTCAAGCTCCATCTTCAATTCTGACTCCTCATGAACCCCTCTCCCAAGACCTCAATCATCCCTCTATCTAAATATTGCTCCTCTTCAAGGCCTCTGATAATCAGCTATTTGAATGTCTTACCAAATTTTCTCCTATAATATTGTTAGTTCCTGATCTCAGGAATTTCTATGAGCTTTACCATCTTGTGGTGCATCTAGCTCCTTGGAGCCATGTGGCCACTTGGTAAGTTGCTACTGAATTGACTCAAAGGCTCGGACAGAAACACAGACATGGAAGGAATTGTTGCTTTTAGAATGAGACATTCGAGTAAAGCAGGCTAGCAGGCACCATCTTCAAACATCTGGCTCCACTGTGGAGACTCTATTAGGCACTTGGCTGAAGTGAGGATGATACTTGTGAGCAGCAATTATGGAGGCGGATTGGGACCCCAAGGAGTGGGATTTTCTGGAGCCATCAACTGAGTCAGAAGGGTCTAGTGGGTGAAGGTTGGCATTGGGATTGTTAGTTGCCCTGGAGTAGTCTGAATCATGGTGATAGTTAGACAAGTACACATTACCAGGTCCTCTGCCATCTTCATAATCCTTGATGTTGGAACCAATTGGTGCAGCTGTCTTTTCAGTCCATTGCGCGAGGGTTTTCTCCGATTTTCTTAGATCTCCACTTTACCAAATATGATGTCTTTTTTCTAGCCATTGGTCAGCCTTTCATGATGACCACACTGGGGTACTGGAAAAATAAATCTAGGGTGGGCTGGATACAGCTTAATGGTCCATCTCTCATATGAGTGGATCTGCCTGACAAGGGATTTTGTTAAGGTTAAGACCCTGGGAGATTGGTGATAATTAAAACCCAGTCCTGCCTGGAGAGATGGAGGGTGGGGGAGGGGGACAGCTCCGGTAGTAAACCATACAGGACAATGAGGGGATGCTGGTTTTATCCATCTCTGTACACGAGAGCGAGCAGAACATGACCTTATCCCAGGATTTACACTTACAGGGCTGACCCTTTTAAGACCCCTTGCTACAGGGTGTTCTGGGATCTCTTCTGCAGCAAATTGTGACTGGGGCCCTAGGTTGCTAAAGAATTACTGGGCGGGAGAGGGACGGGAAACGGGGGAAAAGGGAGGTCTCCCCGTGCCCAGAAATTGCATTTCCGGTTCTTAACAGGAACTCCCAGACTGGGGAAGCTGGTAACCACTGAGGAGTTGTGCGGAGACTGAAATCTACATGGTTTTATTTCCTTTGTGTCCTTCCCATGCGCCGCTGGCCTTTGAAGCGCGCAAACCAAGTCCTTTGGAAGTGAACTGAGACAGGGGACAAAAGCACTCACTTTTCTCCACTCCCAAGCTGTTCTACCCAAGTCCCTAATATATTCAAATTCTCCAGGAGTCAGGGAGATGGAGGTAGAAGACCGTGGAAGGTCACAGGCTGGGGAAGAATCGGGGACCCACATAGGCGGGAACAAACTAAGGGTCAGCAAGTAGGTCTGCGCGCCCGCACTTGCCCGCGCGCGGGAGTGTCGGGGAGGGGGGGTGGTCTCCAAAAAGGGGAGGGGAGAAGGCGGGGGGCGGGGAAAAGCAGAGCCCTTTAGGACTCGCTGCAGCGGCCCGGGAAGAAAGAAGTGGAGAAGGCGGCTCCCGCACTCGTCTGTTCTAACCACCTGTCCGTTCGCTCGCTCGCTCGCTCCCGTCGTGCTCACTACCGCCAACATGCTGCCGAGACTGGGCGGCCCCGACCTGCCATGGCTCCTGCCGCTACTGCTGCTGCCGCTGCTGGGCGCGGGAGGCGGCGTGCGTGCGGAGGTGCTATTCCGCTGCCCGCCCTGCCCGCCCGAGCGTCTGGCTGCCTGCGGGCCCCCGCCGTCTGCCACCGGGGCCGGGCCGGCCAGCAGCGCCAGCGCGCCCTGCGCTGAGCTCGTCCGCGAGCCGGGCTGCGGCTGCTGCTCGGTGTGCGCTCGGCTGGAGGGCGAGGCATGTGGCGTCTACACCCCGCGCTGCGCCCTGGGGCTGCGCTGCTATCCCCACCCAGGCTCTGAGCTGCCCCTGCAGGCGCTGGTCCAGGGCGAGGGCATTTGCAGAAAGCTCCTGGACACCGAGTCCGGCGCCAGCCCCGAGCAGGTTGCAGGTAACGTGTACCAGGACAACTAGTTTGGAGAAACTTGTAGGGCAACCAGGGAGCCGGACTGGCGGTCCTCAGTAGGGAAAGAGTGTGCTGGGAGCCGAGTGTGGGGAATGGTTCCAGGTCTCAGGGACTGTTTTAGGGAAAAAAGAGCGGAGTACTTGATCAGCTCTGGGGGATCGTGGAGAGGGGACCTCCGAAAGTCAAGCCTGGTGAGGGGACCTGGAGTACGGAAGTGCAGAAGAGCCCTGGCTACTAATTTGTTGGGGTTGCACAGCGAGAGAAAAGGCACCCCTTCTACCATAGTCTTATCCAAGTGGAACGTACCTAGTTTGTGTTTTAGTGGGAGGATTTAACGGGTAAATCTAAAGGCTGATTTGTAGGGTACAGCTTCAGTCAGTGACCGCTGATCATTTGCGGAGGATGCTGCTGGGGGCCGGTCCCAATAGGGACTTTGAGTGAGGAAGGGGGCGCTGGGAGGAGGTACCGGCGTAGAGGCAACCTTGCTTCTACTGGGATTGTGAGGTGGGAAGAAATGATTTGTTGGTAAGGTGGACTCCTTAGGGGGGAAATGAAATGTACCACTGTTATTTTACATAGGTTACTAGAGGCGGAGATGCGGGTGGGTTTGGTACTATGTTGGATGAAAAAATAAAAGGGGTGTATTTAGGAAACGTGGAAGAGATGCCAGCAGTTGAATTAATGTAACTTAAGCCCTCGGTTAGCCGGCTGGAATCCCGGCGCCGGGACAACCAGGCCCGATACTTTTGCTTAGGGGCCCCGGGACGGAAAGAGAGAGGTTGATTCCTCGGTTGTGGAAGCCCTTTCGCTGGGCGATGTGTTAGCTCCCCACTCCTCACCTACAGCGAGGGAACACTTCCTATCCAGTTGAATGGGGGCTCCCCCGGAGTTGTGAGAGCACCCCATCTTTCCTTAAAGGTCTTTGGGAGATAAAAAAAAAATCAAACTAAATGGGTCTCACTTTTTTTTTTTTTTTTTAAATTACTGAAGCCTCCTGCCCTGTGGTCTAGAAGAAACTGTAATTATATTTTGTTCTTCTTGGAGACAGTGGTGAGAAATGTGCCCACAGCCTGTCTCATGCTGTTGTTTAAAAAATAAGTTTGTCAGACTTGAAAAAAAATAAAAGAATAAGGGAGGACATTTATGCGTGCTCTGGTGTGGCGCTCTAGGATAAGCCGCTTTGAACCTCAAGGTCGGCGCTTCAAGCTCACCAACCGCACCTCGGAAATCCTATACAGGGTCACTAGGAGTCGGAACCGACTTGAGGGTACTTAATAACAGGACATTTGCGGTCATGGTGGACCCTCCCTTCACCCTCCCTCTCCCAACAGGTATCGGCCCTGGTTAACTATTGTTTTCCCCCTGGGCTCCTGGAGAATGAAATTAAGGGTCAGGGTTGAAATCTTTCTTCTATATCTGTAGCGTTTTGACCTTGAGTGCTGAGTAATTTGGGTCTTTCTCTAAGGGGACCCTCTTGGCCCCGTTCTTCTCCCTTCTGCTTACTTCCCGCCCCAACATAAAAAGGAAAACGATCCTTTCTCTGTGGGATGCCCTCCCTACTAACTAACACGTTCCTCTCTCTCACCTCCCGGCTCACAAAGGCACTCTGACAACCTAAACGTCTCCCATGCTCGGGGAGAACTTTTTGAAAGGCCTCTCAA